AAAAGGATTATAGCATCCTTTTTATACAGAATTTTAAAAAATACTTTAAAATGTGTCAAGGTTTTCTTTAATGTCATCCCTATTTTAAGTTTTGCTCTAGAGCAATTTTTCAATAAAAAATTTTGCTCAATTTTTTTTCTAATACAGGATTTTATATAAGCATCTGTGTGTCTGTGAATGTGTATGTCTTCTTTTGTGTGATGATCAGTCAGGTGTGAACTCAAGAGCAGACACAGGAGTGGCACAGGAAAAAAACGAATGTACTCTACTCACAGGTTCTGGAGGCAGGAGGCAGGCACACAATGCAGGACCATGTGGGAAAGGCAGCAGGGTGGTCAGGAGGTGGAAGACAGGAGCAAGGAGAAGGTCTAGTCCACCCCATTTATGGAGTTTTATGGGGAAGGGCAAGGCAGGGCAGGGCGAACAGTTTAGGATAGGCTAATGTGAATAATTGTGGAAGGTTTGGGGTTGCGGGGGTGGTTTCTAATTGCCTGGCAGCTGTTCCTGGGATGCTTAAAGCAGAGGAATTTTGCCTCCTGGGGCTTAGGGGCCAGATAGAGGAGTTATGGCCCTGAACTGCTTAGTTTACCATCCAGGCATGCTCCAGGCTGAGCCCTTGCTATCTCTAAGCATGGCTAGCCCTGGGAGGAACAATCTCTCTCCAGCCACAAAGTTTTTTTTAAGATCTCAAAACAGCATAATGTACACAAAATTTAAAAATATTTATAATACTGTGTGTGTGTGTGAATTAGGTTTTGTTTACTGATCTTCTGGAATTTATTTTAATTTACAGTAGTCCCCTCTTATCTGCATTTTCACTTTCCACAGTTTTAGTTCCCCTGGTCAACTGTGGTCTCAAAATACTACACATGGAAAATTCCAGAAATAAGCAATTCATAGGTGTTTCAGTTGTGCACCTGTCTGAGTAGCATGATGAAATCTCTGTGTCCTGCCCCTGTCACCCTGAATCCTCCCTTTGTCCAGCATCTCCATGCTATCTATGTGCTCCTCAGTCACTCTGCAGCAGCCTCGGTTAACAGACTGATGGTTGCGTCATCACAGTGCTGGTATTCAGTCACACTTATTTGACTTCATAATGGCCCCAAAGCACAAGAGTAATGATGCTGGCCATTGAAATATGCCCAAGAGAAGCCATAAAGTGCTTCCTTTAGGTGAAAAGGTGAAAGTTACTGGCGTAATAAGAAAAAAAGTCATATGCAGAGGTGGCTAAGATCTACAGTAAGAATGATCATCTAGCTGTGAAACTGAAGAAGGAATGAGAAATTCATGCATACTGTTTATAGGATTTGGTACTATCTTTGATTTCAGGCATCCACTGGGGTTCTTGGAATATATCCCATGAGGATAAGGGGAGACTACTGTATAGTGTGGAATAGGATATTTATTTACCAAATAGATAGCTAGTGATCCTGAATATCATTTAATGAGCAGTTCACCATTTTTCACTGATTTGAAATGTGCCTTTATTCTATATTAATCTAATCTGCTTCAACTCTCTCTATTCCATTCTATTGATTGGTTTGCCTGTTACTAGATCAATAACAAAATATTGACCACAATACCACAATTGCTACCACTTTATGGTACATTTTGGCATTGGTAAAATGTCTTTTTTTTTTTTCAAAAATTTGTCAAATGTGCTTGAATATTTTCCCTCCAACTAATTTCAGAATTACTCTTAAAATTTCATGAAAGGTCATTTTGAATTTAATTAGAATTACACTGATTTTATACATGAATTTTGTCATCAATTTAATGTTTAACAACACTGAATCTTGCTGGTGAGGATAATGATATGCCTTTTCATTTATTCACACATTCTTTTATGTCCTTCCCTACAGTTTTGTAATTTCCTTTTTAAATGTGTTGCACATTTATTCTTCAGTTTTGTCCTCAGTATTTCATAGTTTTTAAAGCTATTTACATTTTGACACATTTTAAAATTTATTTTTGCTCTTGTCCTAAGAAAATTAGTACTAAAAGGCTGGACGTGGTGGCTCACAACTGTAATCCCAGCACTTTGGGAGGCTGAGGAAGTGGATCACAAGGTCAGGAGATCGAGACCATCCTGGCCAACATGGTGAAACCCCATCTCTACTAAAAATACAAAAAATTAACGAGATGTGGTGGCACATGCCTGTAGTCCCCAGCTACTCAGGAGGCTGAGGCAGGGGAATTGCTTGAACCAGAAGGCAGAGGTTGCAGTAAGCCAAGATCATGCTACTGCACTTTAGCCTGAGGACAGAGCAAGACTCTGATTTAAAAAAAAAAAAAAAAAAAAAAAGAAACAAACAAAAGAAAAGAAAAAAGAAAGAAAATTAGTACTGAAAATAGTTTCCCTTAAATTTGGTCAATTTGGTAAACTTTAATTAATTCTAATCATTTGCCAGTTGATTTAATTGAATTTTTAGTAGATAATCTGGGTAGATAACCATATAATTTGAAATCAAAGAGAGTTTCCAATTTTTCCTTTTCATCATTTTATTTTTGTATTGAATTGGCTGAAAGTGCCTACATGTTTGCCTTGGTCTGCTTGGACTGCCATAGCAAAACCCACAGACTGAGTAGTTTAAACAACAGAAATTGATTTTCTCACAGCTCTGGAGGATGCAAGTCCAAAATTGAGGTGCCAGCAAGGTGGCTCCTGGTGAGGCTCTCTCCTTCGCTTGCAAACAACCCCACACAACCTTTTTCTCTGTGCGTGCATGCAGAGAGAAAAAGTTTTCTGGCATCTTTTCTTCTTCTCATAAAGACACCAGTCCTGTGGGATTAGGGCCTCCATCCTAATGTCCTCATTTAACCTTAATTACCTCCTTAAAAAGCCCTCTTTCCAAATATAGTCACATTGGGGTCTAGGGTCTCAACATATGAATTGTGGGAAAACACAAATTAGTTCATAACGATGTTGTTGAATAGTAACAGCATGGACTTTTAAAATCTTTTCCCATTTCTGAGTTAGCATTAAATATAATAATTTTATTTGTTCTCCTGAATAGCTGAAAAACAGGGTAGGCAAAATATGCAGAAGAAACATAGAGGTGATATAAATCACAGCTATCACGAATGTTTACTTGATGCTTATGCATAAGCACCAGTTCACTAGCAGAGGGGATGTTAAAAAAGTACTTGTTGATTGACACTTATTAAAAATGCCACAACACTTTGCTATTATGTGTGTGTTGTGTATCTACAATGACCATAAGTAACTGTGTTTAATACCATGTAGGTAAGTGGTTTATGTTGAAAAAGCATTCATTCAGTTTTTTCCTTTCATTCGATAAAGACTTGCTGTTAGGGAGTGAGTGGATTTTAATGTAAATGGCATAATCTCTGCCTGGTATTTAAAGACCTTGAGTTAGTCTCCTAGAACCAAAATGGCAAATACTGTAATAAATAGAAATCTGTTATTTCTTACTGTCTCAAAGACGTAGGCAAAATATTATGGCTATAAAGTAGTTTATAATTATCACTCTGTTATGAATTGAAAATTTTTTGTCAAATGCCATTTTGTTTTGAGACGGAGTCTTGCTCTGTTGCCAAGCTGGAGTGCAGTGGCATGATCTCAGCTCACTGCAACCTCCGCCTCCTGGTTCAAACAATTCCCCTGCCTCAGCCTCCTGAGTAGCTGGGACTATGGGCATGTACCACCGTGACTGGCTAATTTTTTTGTATTTTAGTAGAGATAGGGTTTCAGCATGTTGGCCAGGATGGTATTGATTTCCTCACCTCGTGGTTGGCCTGCTTTGGCCTCCCAAAGTGCTGGGATTGCTGGCATAAGCCCCATGCTTGGCCAAAATACCACATTTTAAGTAAAAAATAAACTGTTCCTTCTGAGTAACTCCCATCCAAAATTTTTCTTTCAGAGCTCAATCATTAAAACAATTATATATTATAACTTAGGTAAAGTATTAACATGTTTAAGCCATGTGTAAACATCCAGCAGTTATTAGTTACCACCTAATTTCTAAAAACGCCAAAATTAAAGATATGCATAATGAAGAAAACAAAAGGTATTTGTTTATTGTATACTATATATGTTGTCCTTTTTGCAAGAAATAGAAGATTTCAGTCTTTCTCCTTTCTATCTTATATCTAATCCCAAGGATTCACTTTTAAAAAATTACGTATCAATTAAAATTCCATATTCGTACATGAATGACTGGGCTTACATACCTTTGAGTTGAAATTTCTTCTCTTATCTTTGAAAGCTAGATGATCTTGGCCGAGTTTCTTAATCTTTCCTATCCTTCATTTCCTCATTCATTAAATTAGGATAGTGACACATTCCTAATAGATTCTCTGTGAGAATTACATGAAGTAACCTATGTGAAATGCCTAAAAAAGATCCCAACATGTAGAAGTTCAGTAGATGGAGTTATTTTATTTTATTGTTATTAAACAACATTGTCATGTTTTCTTGAATACTGATATTCAAAATATTTAATTTGTTCATTAAAATGAATCTGGAAAGATCTTAAAGAGGTTAATTTCCAGCCATGATTTAAAAAACGAACAGAGCCTCAGTTGAACTTCAGATTTAAAAAATATTCTACCCAAGACTCCAGATTTTGTCCTTCTTAGATGCACCAATACTACACAACATCTTTTGTTAATGGTAGAAAATAAACAGCTTTGTAGGAAACAAGACTTTGTCATGCAATAATTTATAGTTTTGTGTCCATTTCTTTATTAAATAGAGAAAAAGCTATTCTTGAGTCAGAAATGTTTCCCAGATCATTATGGAATAACAGTCATGACTCTCCACCTTTTATTTTCATTGCTGGGTTGTAAGAGATGGCTCTCTACGATGCCTACTCCAGAAGGATATTATTCTACAAATAAGGGCCCAGCATGACATTTATGAAAAAGCCGGAGTCCTCCTGTGCAGAGCTGATTGATGATCAGCCAATAGGCTCCGGGACGCTGCATATAAAGGCACTTCCTTTGCTAGGCTGATCAGATGCAGGACAGAGGTTTGCCTCTGCCTGTGGACCCGGGGGAAATGTGCAACTCCTGTCCTAGCAGTACACGTCTGTGGCCAACAAGGAGAAGCCAGACTCTAACAATGAAACATCTTCATCCTCACTTCCTTCTCATCTTGTTCATCTACTGCTTCTGCATGCTACCAATTCCCTCCTCAGGTAGGGGGAGCTTCATCAGGCCACATCTGGCCTGAACTCTGAGGATGACTGAGACAGACCTTGATCACCCAGGGCAGTTCTGGAGGGAGTCAAGCTTTATTTTCCTCCACCAGCTCTCATTTCTGCCTTCTTGATTTCTGGCTGCAATTTGTTTCTAACTTTTAGGAGAGGATGGACAGAGCGAGATGCTATAGCCTTTTACCAAAGGAGATTTTTCCCTGTGGGACTGTCTTTAAGCTGCTCTTGCCCCAGGGATGTCCTGAACATGTCGCTAAAACTGAAGGGGAGGCACCTCCTGCTGTGAGTTAGGGGAAGATCCCACTTTTTAGCCATTTCTCCTTCCTGGATTCTGAAGAGACGAGGACCGAGCTTACAGTCCCAGAGACTGGGAATTGATGGGCAGTTCGAGATGGGCGGGAGAGGAGCGCACGCTGGAAAAAGGAATCTTTTCAAAGTCTTTCTAGTGGCTTTTAGAGAGACCGAATTCCAGAGTGTAGTGGAAGCCCGGACCTCCCGGGGCCGGGGAGTTGTCCCAGGTGCTGACCGGGCGCGGGCGTAGCCTCACCAACCATGAGAACTAGCGTGGAGTGAGGGTCTGTGTTTGGAATCCGTTACCACCATCTTCATAGGATGCAGGGAAGTGGACGGTGGCAGAACAACTACAGTTGGAAACACAGACTATTTCAAAATTTTAGATTTTTTTCATTATAATTTTGACTTAGGGGGTAGAAAATCTTCGAAAGTATATTGATAGAGAAAACATATTTCAAACAGTATGTTTGCTTTGTCATGTTCTGCAATGTAGTCACAAAACTGCGCCTTGCAAATGACCGTGAAGATCATCTAATTTAACCTCTCACGGGATGCAGGGATCCCTTCTGTAGCTTCCGTGGGGAAGATCTTAGAGATTCTATTTAACTGCTTTCAGTAATCCCAACTCACTCCCAGCCTGGGACAGCCAGCTGCTGCCTCTTCGCTCCAGTAGAGTCCTGTTTATATTACACTTTTGCAAATCTGTAATTACCTTTCTATATGTTTATACTTACCTCCCTGTTTTTTCCTATTTGACTTTATGTTTCCTGAGGGCCTTTACCTTTTATTAACACAGAATCTCTCCATAAGTATTCATAGGATTGGCTTGCATTACTTTGCATTATTGAATGATTCCAATCATCAAAAACTTCTTTACACTAAGCTTAAGTGTGATCACATGTAACTTTCTAACCATCAGACTTTGTTCTGTTATTTGGGGGAAACACAAGACTAATATCTCTTACTTATTGCAGTTTTCAAAATAGTTGAAAGCAGATAACACTATGCTCAGTGACCTTACCTGGTATCTTATCATTTCAAGTCAGAGTATTACCTTTTGAAGTTTAGGCATTGTTATTTGAATATAAGATAACATTGCCTTCAGCTCTATCTTGGCTCAGAGAGAACAGAGGCAGCAAATTACAACTCGGTTTTGTTCTGTCTTGTTTTAAAATATAAACTGCTCTTGAGCCACACATTCCTTGTTCCACACTTTAAAAATCTAAGTTCCAGGTTTTATATTTATCCATCTAATTTCATCCTGTTAGTTTTGACCTATCCAATTGATTCCTTCAGCTGCACTATGGCTATCCCACCAGGTGTTCTATCACAAGCAAATGAGAAGAGGAGTTCACTGAAGTTAGACAAAAGATTGACAGGGTCCAGCTGCATGCCAGCAGCCTTTCTCAGAACCCATCGCTAGAGAGTCTGTAGCAGCAGAGAGATGGATATTCATGTGTCTTCAAAGTTTGAAGTTCAAAGGTGATTCTGATATCCATCCTTTATTGACACCATTTTCTGATATGCTATCTCGTGAATTCTATCAAAATACAAACTAAGTTGTTACCTTGGCATTTTTTCCTCCTCTTTACCGAGTTGCTAACAGTTGTACTGAACACTCATAGTAAACTAACAATCATACTATTTTTAATTAGTCTTTGTATAAATCTCAGATTTGATAGTGGTAAGTAGAAGTGTATTTTCTTTGTATATCCCTTTAACAACATCAGATCAAATCTTACTTTCCCACTGACCTTTTTAGTATGGTTCTTTGGTGGTTTATTGTTTTAATAGAATCTCTCTCTGATTTTCATGGCAAAGACTTTGAAGTAAATGCTATGACCTCTTTTCTCTAATTCATAATTAATATTTTTATGATTTCTCACAATAGGATTTCCCCAACCTTTAGCTGATCCTACAGATGGCTTGGATACTGTGCAGCTTGAGGTACCCAATTATTCAGTAATGTGAGATTTTTATTTAGTCTGGGCCTTGAATACATCATGTGTATAATGTTCACTTAAAACTGTTTTGAGATCAGATTTTTGGCTGTAGCAGAAACTCACTGTTGCCATTTTCATCATTTAAAGCGTCCTGAGGGTTGTGATGAAATTCACTGCCACCCATGTGAGAAGATAATGCGACGTTCAGAAATAGGGCAAGTTTAGAATTTAGATATGTTATAATGTAATTCTGCTGACTGAAGAATTTATACTTATCTTTGATTCATTGTTGAAATTTCAAATGCATCATAGATGTACATACTTTCAGGGTACATGTGATATTCTGACAGTTTCATATAGTGTGTTATAACCAAATTGGGGGAATTGGAATATCAATGGATATTAAACATTTACCTTAAACGTGTACATTTTCTTTAGGCTGGGAGCATTCAAATTATTCTCCATTAGCTATTTTGAAATACCCAATAGATTATCATTTACTGTAGTCACTGTACTGAATTAGTGAACACCAGGCCTTGTTTCTTCTATCTAATGGTATTTGATTACCCATTAGTCAATCTCTCTTCATCCCCCTCATCCCTTTGATTTGTTTTCTTCATTTTTCTTTTAGCAACTGGCATATTGTCTGAGGCAGTGGCCCCTCTTTCTCGCCAATATAAGGTAAAAAAAAAATATATATATATATATATAATAATACATCTGCAACAAACACAGTCTTTTGCTACCCACAGGAGAATACTGTGTGCATGTGTAACTGTGCATGTCTATGTGTGTATGAGAATATAATTGTAGAAAAAAATCAAGCCAATCTCTTAAATATAAATTACTATAAAATATGGGTAGTTAATGTATATTTTTAAAATTATTATAATCATATATAATTAAGCTAATTATATGTTATGATATATTGCATATTATAAATTGATATGTCATGATATAGCAGTTCTCCAAAACTATAGTTCTCATTTAAAAGACTACAGTAACTGGTCGGGTGTGGTGGCTCACACCTGTAATCCAGCACTTTGGGAGGCCAAGGTGGGTAGATCACTTGAGGCCAGGAGTTTGAGTCCAGCCTGACCAACATGGTGAAACCCTGTCTCTACTAAAAATACAAAAATTAGTTGATCATGGTGGCACATGCCTGTAATCCCAGCTACTCAGGAGGCTGAGGTAGGAGAATTGCTTGAACCCAGGAGGTGGAGGTTGTAGTGAGCCAAGATTGTGCCACTGCACTCCAACATGGGTGACAGAGCAAGACTGTCTCAAAAAATATATATAGACTTTGACTATAGTAACCACACAGAAATATTTAAATGGATACAAAGTAAGTTGATTTAATTGAAAGTACAAAAAGGTGGTCTCAGGATAGCCCATGATACCTAGGATAGCTCTAAATTTTCACCCATCCCTCACTTACCATAACCCACAGCACACTACCCTCCAGTCACAGTGAACCTCTAACTATTCCCCAAATGTGCCAGGCCCCTGAGGTCCTTGCACAGTCTTCTCCTTAGTCAGAAATGCCTTTGCCTCCTTCACAGGTTGCAATTAACAGTCCAGACTCTAAAATGAAAATACCTGGTTTCAAAGTCCAGCTCTGTTTAAACTTGGTAGCTTCTTAGTTGCTCTGTGCCTCGATTTTCTTATCTGTAGCATGGGGGTAATTGTCATCATACCCCAGAATGCTACTGTAAGGAGTAAATGCTTCGTATTTGTGAAGTGCTTTCAACAGCATCCAGAATGTGGCAAACGACAGCACTTAAGTGCTGGTTGCTGCCATTGCCTCTTGATGCAACTGATTCTCATTCTTCAAGACTCAAATGTCACTTTATCAAATTTCATGAATATATCACGCCTATTTCTTCTTATTTTCAGTTTACCACTGTGCATACGTTTGAAGGCAATTGTTAGCTATGATTTTCAGGAATAATCTTTACAGCCTTGGTATGTGGAGCAGAAATTTGGGCTGAAAACTCAGAGTTCTTCTTCCCTTTGTTACTTCCTCCACATGTCGCGCAAAAGGGATCTCCCGCTCCCTCAGGTGAAGACTGTGGGGGTGTCCTCTGCATTAGCAGAGGCAGTGGAAGTGTGGCTGTCCCATGTGCAACCTGCAGTATTAAATTGGGTTATAGGGACCCCCAAGAGCAAGAGCCCACTAGGAATTTAACTGAAAGTACAAGAAGGTGGTCTTAGACTAGCCCATGGTGCCTAGGAGAGCTCTACATTTTCACCTCGAGCCACATCTCTTCATCCCTCACCTCCCCAACCCACAGCACACCATGCTCCAGCCACAGTGATCCTCTCACTATTCCTCTAATGAATTCCCTTCCACCGTCTCCATTTTTCCAAGCCTATTTCATTCATTGTTTCCAACTGCAGAGGAGCCAGGGGTTGCTCAGTGAACAAAAGCGCCAATATTTTAAAGGTATGAATAGAGAAACTGGCTCTTCCTGGCCTGTTGCTTCTCTGAAATGTGACCTTTGGCATGTCTGTTCCTCTTTTGGGGCTTTGGTTCCCTCAACTGCCCAAAGTCTGGATGTCTTCCCAGGGCTCTAAGTTCACTCCCGTTCTGGTTTCCAGAACAGGTCAAGTCTGTGACTCTAGGGGACCTTTAACTCAAAGCAATTCAGAAAGCAGTCACATTCTGCAAATAATAACATCCACAGAACTCTTCATGTTTCTGGTCATCATGTGGGATTAGAAGTTTCAATGGGGAAAAAGGGCAATAAGTTCTTATGAATAGAGCTCTACCATTCATTCATTCAAAAGATATATTTATTGAAAGCATGCCATGTGCCAGGTGCTGGTGAGGCAGTAGTAAAACAAACTGAATGCCTGCTCTCATGGCATTTGTATTCTAGTTGGGCAAATGAATAATAAACAACATGTATCAGTAAAACATGAAATAATTTTTTTCTCTAAAAAGAAAAAAATTAGGCCAGGTGCAGTGGCCCATGCCTATAATCCAAGCACTTTGGAAGGCCAACACGGGCAGATCACTTGAGGTCAGGAGTTTGAGCCCAGCCTGGCCAACATGGTGAAAGCCTGTCTCTACTAAGTATACAAAACTTAGCCAGGCATGGTGGCACGTGCCTGTAATCTCAGCTATGAGGGAGGCTGAAGCAGGAGAATTGCTTAAACGCAGGAGGTGGAGGCTGCAGTGAGCTGAGATTGTGCCACTCCACTCCAGGCTGGGCAATGGAGCGAGACCCTGTCTCAAAAAAGAAAAAAGTAAAGGAAGGGGCACATGAAAGTTTGAGCAGGGTGATTAGCACCAGGAAAAGCATCTTCACATTCCTCATCAATTTTTGACCAGAAAAGTAAACATAACAGTATAAAGCTCGGATTTACGTGGTACAAAAAAAACAATTATTTGCCCAATAATTGTCCATAAACACACACACACACGCACGCACGCACACACACACACACACACGGTTGTGAACAGATGCTGACAAGAAGACCAGGAGCTGCAAAAATAGCAAGTACTTTCTACTGGTTAAAGATGGTGTTTGTAAGGAAATAAGAGTTAATTTCCACAGAGCCTCCATTACTGGTAATGTTGGTGGATTATAGTGTGTGCCTATGTGTGTGTGCCCATGTTTGTGTGTCCACACATATGTACATGATAGAGAGAGAGAGAGGATGCATACATATTTTTCTCTTCCACTGAAGAAATTCTCTACAAAGTTTGCAGGAAGATGTAATTGTATTCACAGCAATATAGTTAGAAGTAGTATTAACAACTTTATTTTTTGTCTTGATTGAGGTTTCAGTTGATTCAAAGATGTTTAAGCATGAGTGAGATGTGAATGAACAATACTAGTCAGATTCGCATATTTAAATGATTGTTCACAGTAATCATCTCTATCTAGTGACTTTATAACACACGGACATGAACACTTACGTTATGGTTTTGTAAGAAGCGTTCTTCCCGGCATCTCCTTGAGTCAGATAAGTGCACATGCATCCATCATCCACGCAAGTGAAGGCTGGGGTGTGTGCACTGGCAAGGATTTAGAAATGGAAAATTGGACTTTCTGCAAGAAGAACAAAAATTCATGTAGAAAGGTTTTGGAGAAAAATAACATTGGTTAACATGAACTATAAAAACTGAATAGTAGGATACACTCTGTGGCAAATTAAAAACGGCAAGAGTTAGTTCATTCCACCCTTAGTCAGATGGTTATTTGCTTCTATGCATCAGAGAGTAGGTATCCCCTCCCCACCTCCTGCAAATTGAAAAGATGAAATGAGATTAGGCTTTTCAGATGATGACATGTTGCTGGCAAATTTCTTTATTGTAAGATCTATCATCAATGATAGTTTCATTAAATTTCCATAATGGAAGAATTTCTTTTTAGATTGCCAATCTATCATAATATTCAAGTAAATCCAGTAAGGTCCATGGTGTACCTTATACAGAAAGCGTTACCAGTTGCCTGCCCTTGTAAAATTTCACATAACTTACCCACACAATTCTCTTTTCAGGATAATCAAGATGTATACAAAAGGGTGAGTACCGCCCAGCCTAGTATGAGGGCATGAAGCATCCATGTTTAGAGCAAGTGACACGCGATACTAATATCACTTTCTTTTCTTATTTAGTTTTTGTTTCATTATTCCAGAACTCAAGAGGCAACACATCCAGTTAAAACTGGGGTCAGTATTTTATCATAATAATCTTTCTGTAAAAGTGACTCTCCTTGGCATGTCGTCTGTCCCTTCTTAATATGTGCAGACAAGTAGAAAAGCTGGGCCTCCAGACATCCTCTGGGTAGTAACTTCCCAGGGGCTTTTTCCTGAGGCTGCAGGGATTCTCTTTCTCCCTCCAGGGTGGGGGTGGTGGATAGCTGACTGATCTGAGAAGTTAGAGAATAGATTATAGAAAATGAAAAATAAGTAGGAAATAACTTTTTATTATGCACTTAAACAGAGGTACAGGAAAAGCCTGGTAAACACTGTGTTCTCTTTATATTGTTTTTTCTTACCATCTGTTTTTAAATTTGTGCTTTGTAATGTGTACAGTACCATCCCCCAGGAGTGATCCATGGATGTGCATCTTCTGTGGCTTTTGCGATGTGTATGTGCAATAGGAATAGTAACCATCACCTCTAACTTTCCTCCTACAGATTTGAGTTACCCTCTGGAGAAGCTTGTATAGTTGAATTTCTATGGGGTATGATTTGAGGAATTTTGGAGAGGCCATAGAATATATATATATATATATGTACACACACACACACACACACACACACACACACACACACACACACAGTCTTGCTCTGTCACCCAGGCTGGAGTGCAGTGGCACAATCTCAACTTACTGCAAACTCTGCCTCCCAGGTTCAAGAGATTCTCATGTCTCAGACTCCCAAGTAGCTGGGATTACAGGCATGTGCCACTATGCCTGGCTAATGTTTGTATTTTTAGTAGAGACAGAGTTTCGCCATGTTGGCCAGGCTGGTCTCAGACTACTGACCTCAGGTGATCTGCCCACCTCGGCCTCTCAAAGTGCTAGGATTATAGGCACGAGCCACCATGCCCAGCCAGACATAATTTTGAATTCAGGTACCCTTTTATAGCAAGTAAAACTCTACCACTACATCTCTTATTTACATATTCAAGGCTCTCCAAATCTTAAGAGGATCCTTAAAAAAAGCAAATAACCAGGAAAAAAATATTTCCCCTAAGAATCAATCAGTATTATAGATGTAGGAATGGGGCTGACGTAAGGAGGAGGATTTTTTTTTAAGGCACAGTTTCGCTTTGGTTGCCCAGGCTGGAGTGCAATGGTGTGATCTTGGCTCACTGCAACCTCCACTTCCCAGGTTCAAGCCATGATCTCCTGCCTCGGCCTCCCAAGTAGCTCAGACTACAAGCACGTGCCACCACACCTGGCTAATTTTGTATTTTTAGTAAAGACAGAGTTTCACAATGTTGGCCAGGCTGGTCTCAAACTCCTGACCTCAGGTGATCCACCCACCTTGGCCTCCCAAAGTCCGGGGATTACAGACGAGAGCCACCAAGCCCGGCCAAGGAGGGGGATATTATCAAGACCAAAAAGGGTACCAAGAAAGGAGAAAGAACACTTGAAAGCAAAAGACAAACTGTCCTGACACATATTCAGTTTTACTCTAAACCAAAGCACACAGGGAGGATTCAGGAGGACTAGATGAGGGCAGGTGTGTGCACCTGGGTGCGCACGGCAGTCACAGACAGGATTAGGAAACCGGAAGTGCATGGGGAGGACTACGGGGGCTGCCCTCCACCTTTTCCCTTTGATGAGGCGGGCACCCCTGGGGAGGGAGAAAGAATGCATGTGGAGCTGCTTCTAGGACAAGGCGCTCCACTCCAGGAGCACAGAGTGCTGAGGGTTAATGCAGAGAAAAGTCCGATTTACCCTAAGGGAATATTTTTAAGGGTTGTGTTGGAATTGAAATCTGTTCTCAAGGCAAGCGGCTCTTTATTGAAAACATAAAATTTCAGCCTTCTGCTCAAAAATGGATTTTATTCTGAAAATTAAACCCATTTGTAAGGGAAGTGAGTAGAAAGGAAGGCGCATAGCCCTGGGCTCTCAAAATACTCCTCTGCTGTTGATGTACCCGTGTCTGACCCTCCGTACCTCTCTGTTGCAGTTTCCTTTCGTGCATCCTCTAATGCACCTGGCTGCCAAGCTCACCAACAAACGGATAAAGAGATTTCTGCAGCAAGTATGTGCTTTTATTCTTCCACCATAGTTTTATGTCACTCACAGTTCACTGAATCATGGTAAAAGCATACTGTCACCTTGGGGCTTGCTGTCATTCCCTTCTCAAATCTCAGTCTCCACCTTGGCAAGGGAGCGCTGAGTGGAACTGCTGATCCTTTAACCTTGCACAAATTCCTGGACCTCCCTAGGCCTTAGTTTCCTCCACTGAAACCCCATGAGGTGTCTTGAAGGGCCAGGGAAGAGACTCCATGGCCCAGCCTGGTTTCATCCCTCTCCTCTTCTGCTCCTTTCATCCCTAGGTTGTGTCTTTGTTTTGTACTTTTTTTCCACTTCCCCTGTCTCTTTCTCCTGATGTGAAACTTGCCCTGGAGATGTCTTCTGCTTTCCATTGTCCTACCTACTCATTGTCCATTTCCCAGAGCTTTCTTCTTTAGTTTTTCTTTTTTAATTTAAAACTCACTAGCTGAACCTGTTCAATGGTAATCAAAGTTTTGTTGCATGGTAGCAAAAATAAATAAATAGTGAGAGAGAAAATTTATTTTGAATGCCCTGCCCAAGTAGGGTGACCAGCTCATCCTGGTTTGTCCAGGACTTTCTTAGTTTTAGCTCTGAAAATCCCGGGGCCCCGAGTGTCTGGAAAACTGGTTGCCCATCCTGGGGACTCGCAGCAGTTTGTCTGATCCCCTGCTAACTGTAAGCCTCTAGGTACAGTCTTATTCCATGCTTATACACAGGCGATGAGCAAGCTGACGAAGCCGAAACGGCTAGTCCTTGAAAAGTTGCTTGAGCTTTGCAATATGCCCATTTCAAAGGAGGAGCCAGCAAACTGAACATACCTGGACACAGATGGTAAGCCAGCCAAGATGACAAGCTTGCCTTTTTGAGCAAGAGCTTGCTTGAGAAGATCACGGTGGTGATCCCACCATTTGCCATGCTCTCCACCTCCTCTTATGCACCGGACTTCTGACTACCTTCGAAGGAAGCCAGGGAGGGCAGGGTCACCACAAGACAACTGCAAGGTCATGATGTGGTTTGTGTTGAGTTAACCTGTGCCTCATTTCCTTTCAGGGTTCGAGGACTGCTGCAGTGGGCTTCACCAAGAAGATACACAAGAGCCTTGGAGACTGCAACCCCTAAAGAAAGTGTGACCCAAGAAGGGTGGGGAAGTCCTTGGAGCCATCCACGCTTTAGTTCCTCCAGACCACTTCTGGGTAGAGTTGGCCTCAAAAGGACCCTGAGAATCTTTTGTGGCTGAGCAATTAAGTTCAGGTTTCCCTGGGGTAGACAGGAACCATAGGGCAATGCCTATGGCTGTTCAGATTTCACCTCCAGCCCCACAGATGAGTCACCTGGAGCCAGCTGCTCTTGGGGCCTTGCTGTGTCTAGCTCAGGAGCCTGCCACAGTACAGACTCCAATAGAGGTACCGCCAGAGCACAAACCCCACACACCAGTGGTTCTCAAATGTGGCCATGCATCAGTCATCTGGCTAAAATTCAGATTGCTTGGCCCCACCCCAAAGATCCAGTGGGTATGGATTGGGGCAAAGATCCAGTGGGTGTGGATTGGGGCAGAGTGTATTTCTTACAAGTTCCCAGAGGTCGTTGGTACCACTGGTCTGGGACCACCCTTTTTGAAAGCTGGCCCTGTCCTATTTTTGAAGAACTTATAATGCAACATGGTTGCGTAATGGCTTATGCTTTTATGTTGCAGGATCACGCTGCCACCTGGGGACAACCCTTTTGCGTTTTCAGGGTATAGGATGTTTTCTCACCTTTGCTTTCTAACCTCGATTCACTGCAGCCATCCCAATCATGGAGTGACTGCAAACAGCAAAGCCAGGACCTGTTGGTGAACTGATGGATAATTGTGAGGACTCTCTCACCCTTCACTGGGCCTCACTCCAAGTCAAAGCCTCCTCCTACAAGCTTGTAAAGGCAAGGGTCCAACAGGAGAGAGGCTGAGAGCACCAGAGTAGGCATAAGGGAGTTCTGTTGACAGACAGACACAGGGTACACCAGAATCGGAGCCCAGGTTTTAGAGCATTAGGGTCCAAGATTCGTGGTCCCAAAAACACATGGCAGGAGGACCTTAGGCACCATGCTCTCCTCCTTCCTGAGTGACAGAGATTCTTGCAAAGGTCACAGAGTCAGAAGAGTTATCTTTTTTATTTTGATCGGCCATTCACTAGTTGTGCTTCACCCTTGAGATTCTCAGTATTTGCATAGAAAAATGAGCAAATCAGACTAGATCCATGCCCCCAGGAACTGCATTATGTGAATCACTGGTGCTAAAAGGTACACTTCGCAAAAGTCAGATGAGATGGGAAAACACTGCACGCAACAGTCATGAAGACTCACAGTACATACTGGCCCATCACAGGCTCTTACGAAGTCCTGCAGAACACAGCCTGTGTCTCTTGGCTTAATCAGTTGTTGCCCAAACATATGGACCATGGAGCTGCTTCCCACCACTCTCTCACTCCCATGGGTCTGTATGACCTACTCGTTTCCTAGAAGTGCATTGAGAAACGGTCCATCTCCATGACGTCTCCAGACTGGGCAGTCCTATGCTGCATGGTTTGTGGAACCTCCCACCACGTAAGCAAAGGTTAAAGGGTGGGGGTGATGGGTAAGTGACAGCGTTGGGGTCCTAGGAGCAGCAAGGCTCCTGAAGCACTGTCCCAGAGGACCTACAGACTAGTACTAGCACAGGGCGAGGGTTTCCCAGGTGAGTCCCCATGGAGGGGAGTGAAATCCCAGTTAGAAGAGTGAGGCCTTAGGGTTCAATAGAGAGAAGAGCTAAATCAAGATATAGGCTGCAGAAAGTTTTGTCTCACTATCTGTAAGTTGCTCCTTTTTTTTTCCAGCCCAGGAATGGAAGAAACATTGAAGATGAGGCCCAGTAGGTAGTCCAAGGTCAGCTTCATCACATTTTTTCCTTTCCAAGCAAATCTTATGTGTCTGACTGGAGGGAGTGAGAGGCAGCCGCAGAGGGACCATTGGTCAAGAAAGGAGGACCCTGCATAACCCCCAGGGACTCTGTCCCTTCCCCTTTTCTACTCACAGGACCACAGAGGCCCCCACCCCAACCTAGCAGATGCAGGCTGTCTGGGCAGTATTGCAGCCTTCACTTCCGTGCCTAGCTCTTTGAAGGCATGCGGTCTCTGGCTGTCACTGTGATGGGGGTGCAGGCTCACTGCAGCCCAACAGGGCCCTCTCTGACTTCTCACCTGGCCCCCTCTGATAAGGAAACACCACCCTGGCATGCTTGGGCGGTGCACCAAGGAGTCCTGGAAGCTACCAGACTCCCTACAGTGGGATCATTTCTAAGTATGGCCAGGCAAGGCTGTTTCTTCCATCCAATTTTGCTCTGAGATCCAGAGTTTTAATCTGGAGAGATTCTGTGGCCTTCAGGCCTGTGGAAGAGGAAGTGAATGCTCAAGGGCAGCTCCAGGCCTCCCCTGTCTCTCATGAGGATGTGGTCCCAAGGACATGAAGCTACTGTCCTACGGATGCTGATAGCAGGGTCCCAGCAGTCCAAGGTGTCTGAGAAAGCTGTCCCACTGCTGGGAAATGGCACTACCCAGCAAACACAAGGCACAGATGTTCCCTGAGGCTGTAGTGCTTACACCAATCTAATGACCTAATTAGATACAGCTAAAACAAATCTTATGAGTACTTATTGTGGGGAAAGCAACCCAGGCACTTATGACAAACTGAAGTCTAATTGTATAATACGGTACATAATAACCTGCCCCTGGGCTTTGTCTTGATTCGGAGAATGGTTTGACCTGAGTGGTGCATTTTTCTTTTATTTTTTAGGATTCAATGGTGAAAGCAAGCTGCATCTAATGAGGCTGTCCAGGGATTATGTTGAACAAACATCAAACTTCTTTCCGCAATCAATATTTAAAGATATTTCTCTTGCTCTGTATTCACTAGATATTTAGCTTTATAAAAATAAAGTATCATTGTGTGATATTATGAAATAGATATTTGGTCTTTGTCCATATTTCTTGACATACAAGTTCGGAAATTCTTGAAAATTTCAAAATGTTCAGTGTCTCTTTGTATGCTGATGATTGGCAGTGAGTGGCAGTCCCTAGGTAGCTTTGAGATGGAGTTGGTCACCAGGAAGACCAAGGCAGGACTGGAGGATTGGGAGTTCAGCCCAATCCCACTCTCCAGGGAGAAGAGGCACTGAGAATTGAGTCGGTCACCAATGGCCAATGTTTTAATCAGTCATCTATTGTGAAATAAAAAAACTCAAACTTAAGGCTCCTGGAACTTTAAATAATTTGCGCCTTGGGAGAAACGTGACTGTGTGGTCTCAGTCCTTTAACATGGAGCTGCCACTTCTGCTTCTCCAATTACAGATGGACTCCTTTTCTTATTTTTTGTTCTGTAAAATGACGAAGAAAGACTGAATGGCACCAGAGATAAGACCCCTCTCCTGTTAATTACTGATCTTTGTTAGAGATTAACTTCTCCCTTTATTATCTTGCACTCAACTCAGACCAGAGGACGCAGAAGACCCCATGACTATTATATCCTCAATGTGGAATGTTAAATACCCTTCCCGAAAAAGAACACAGCCTATAACCAGTCCAATGGTTGTAACTATGCACTAACCATGTACAGACAATGTTAACATCCTATTGAACTTCCTGAAACCTTGCCAATATCAACAACCTTCACACCCCTTCACTTTAGAATGCCAATTCCGTTAGCTTGGAGTTGGCATTTCCAGGTGGCTGTTTTCAAGCTTTGAGCTCGAATAGAATAAACTCTGTATTTAATCATATTTTCTTAATCTCATTATTTAAGGAGGATACTATGTAACCTTAAGCTTTCATAAAAACCCAAAAGGACAGGGCTTTAGATAGCTTTTAGATAGCTGGACACATGGAAGTTGCTGGAGGGTGGTACACCCAGGGAGGGCATGGAAGTTTCAAGCCTTTTTCCACATGCTTTGCTCTATGTATTTTTTCATCTGTATCCTTTGTAATACCTTTTGTGATAAACTAGTATTGTATTTCCCTGAGTTCTATAAGCCACTTTAGCAAATTAGTCAAACCTAAGGAAGGGGTCATGGGAGCCCCAATTCATAGCCTGTTGGTCAGAAGTACAGGTAAAATAACCTGAGGCTTGCCACTGGCATTGGAAGTGGGGAACCATCTTGGGGACCAAGCTCCGAACCTATGGGATCTGATAATCTCCAGGTGGATGTTGTCAGATTGAATTGGAGGGCACCAGATAATATCTGCTACAGAACTGATCACTTGCTTGGGGGAAAAGCCCACAGGCACTACGTATGAAAGCAGAGGAAACACTTTTTTTCCACTCAGATTGACACACCATTTTCTTTTCTTTTCTTTTTTTTTTTTTTTTTTTTTGAGACGGAGTTTCACTCTTGTTACCCAGGCTGGAGTGCAATGGCATGATCTTGGCTCACCGCAACCTCCGCCTCCTGGGTTCAAGCAATTGTCCTGCCTCAGCCTCCTGAGTAGCTGGGACTACAGGCGCATGCCACCATGCCCAGCTAATTTTTGTATTTTTTAGTAGAGACGGGTTTCACCTTGTTGACCAGGATGGTCTTGATCTCTTGACCTCATGATTCACCCGCCTCGGCCTCCCAAAGTGCTGGGATTATAGGCATGAGCCACCGTGCCCGGCCTTGACACACCATTTTTATTTCCTATTGGAAAGTCTTGGGTGGGGGTGGTGAGAGGATTGGGTATATTATTTTTTAAATAAAAGGAGATAGTTTAAAAATTCACCATCTTTGGCATTGGTTTATCATGGCCTATCTATCTTGTTATTATTGAGGATTGAGGGCTGGGTTTGGGATAGGCGGGATGGCCTCAGATCCTGACTCCTCTGCTTTTAGCTTGGTGACCTCGGACAGGTCACTTCTCGTTCCTGTGCTTTAGTTTCCTCCATGGTAAAATGATGTTGGTATGGTAATAATAGTAACTTCTCCACATAGCCTTTGTGAGGACTAAGAAGATGGTCCATGTGGGAGCATTTGGCTTGTGGGACACAGTGAACAGTCAATAACCATTGGCCCTGATTACATTCAGATGGTTTTCATCATGCAACGTGTACCAAAGGGACTCAAGAACTGTTTCTTTACTGCTGACAGCATTAAGTTAAGGCACAGCAACCCCAGACTCTCTTAAGAAGCCACATGGCTCATGCAGTTGCCCAGTGGGTTATTCTTGCCCACTCCACAGACAAAATCAATTCATTGAAACTGGGACATTACAGTAGAGAAAGAGTTTAACGCAGAGCTAGCCAAGTGGAAGGATCAGAGTTATTACTCAAATCTGTCTCCTCAAAGACTCAGGGTCTAGAATTTTTATGGGTCATTTGGTGGGGAGGGGGATAGGAAGTGGGTGCTGCTGGTTGGTTGGGGTTGAAATCATAGGGTTATGGAAAGGGGTCCTCATGCTCTGAGTCAGCCTCTGGGTGGGGGACACAAAGACTGGCTGAGTCATGAGTCAGGTCTGGATGGGGTCAGTCAATTGCCAGAATGCAAAAGTCTGAAAAACATTTCAATCTGAGGTTCTACAATAGTGTTGTTATCTGTAGGAGCAATTGGGGAAGTCACAAATCTTGGGATCTCTGGCCACATGACTCCCAAGCAATAAGAAATTACAGAAATGACACAAACATTTTAGCAGAATTCAGGCCCCTTGCATAATCATAAACTCACAGCAAGAAGGGGGTTAGCTGGAAGGAGGAGCTATTATCCTTGCTTCAAAGTTAAACTATGGGCCTGGTGTGGTGGCTCACACCTGTAATCCCAGAACTCTGGGAGGCTGAGGTGAGCAGATCACCTGAGGTCAGGAGTTCAAGAACAGCCTGGCCAACATGGCAAAACTCTGTCTCTACTAAAAAATACAAAAATCAGCTGGATGTGGTGGTACGCATTTGTAACCCCAGCTACTCGGGAGGCTGAGGCGTGAGAATCACTTGAACCCAGGAGGTGGAGGTTGCAGTGAGCTGAGACTGCACCACTGCACTCCAGCCTCAGTGACTGAGCAAGACTATGTCTCAAAACAAAACAAAAACAAAGTTAAACTATGAACTAAATTCCTCCCATGGTTAGACTGGCCTATGCCCAGTAAGGAGTGAAGCCTGTGGGGTTAGAAGCGAGATGGAGTCATCCATGCTAGACTTGTCTCACTGTCATAATCTTTGCAAAGGTGCTTTCACTCAGCTTTTCTTCCCAACTTTCTCCTCTGTAAATATCTGTGTTTGCATTTGACTGGAAGGAGTTCTAGAAGACTTCCCAAGATTATCCTATGGAGGAGACAAGGCAGATGTGCGTTCAGTGCAAGGAGGGATTCCAATGACACGACCTAAATAACACTGGCTACTTCTTCTTTTAACTTCTCAAGTACTTCATCAAACTTAAAAGTCCTCCTTTTAAAATGTCTGTTAGAATTTGTTTTTGTATTTTAGCATTTGTAAGCCTCTGTACTAAGTCTGAAACCTATTTCTCCAATGGGATGTTTTAAGACCTCTCAGTAGATCTTGCCACACAGAAATGAAATGAGAAAACCTAGTTCTTCCCGGTATTTTTCTGACTGAATGGGTGCAGGAGACGGGACCAAGCCACTGGCCCAGTGCTTGGCGTCTGTAGGGAGCAGCACGGGTTTGATGAGCAGAGCACAGTGTTTGTGTGAGAAGCTGCTAATACCAATCTTCAGAAACAATCTCCAGATATGGGGTTGACCAAGGATGGTAGTTTCTACCCCAAACAGAGCCTCAGAATTTTCTTTGCCAACAGTAATAATAAATCCCACCTTAATGCCCTTGGCCCAAGGCCAGGGGAATGATGATTAAAGAGGGTGGGGCAGGCCAGAAGATCCCTGTTTCCAGGAATACTGTTTGAACT